AAGTATTACGCGAATCTTTCCCATCTTTACAGCATATTACGCGAGCTTAAAGCTTCCCCCTATTACACGTAATTTCAAATCCTTTCGACGTTCTCATTAAGAACCGGTAAACCATCGTCTTTCTCCTCCGTAAAATTGATCGCGAATTCACCGACATTTTGTCTGATTCCGCGCGAATTCGCAAGAGAACGATCCCCGCCATGCGTTCTCATGCGGATAAAAAAAAGGAGGGAGGGGTAGGCCACACCTGTTCAACCTTACTATCATCACCGTTCACAATCTAAAGCAAATTATTTTAAATAATTAATATTTTCCCCTGTTCCAAGCTCTCTCGAGCCTCGACTCGCGAATTTTACAACTTTTAATCAGCTGCATATTTTCAACGAACGATTCGTAACGCGATATCTCGCGCCATCCACCGCAGGCCCGAGAAATATCTTCCATGGTTCGTCATTTCGTTGAATAACGAAGGGCCGGGTCGCGTTCGACCGCGTAATAATTTGACCATTTGGGAGGTAATTCGTGCGACCCATCCGAAAGGGAATTCGAGGCACGTTAAACGCCACGTTCTTTAGAAATTAACCGTGGGCATAGGCGTAGGCCAGCGGGGAGCCGAAGAGGATCGCGGAGAGGAATAGACAACGGGCAAACGTAATTGTAGGCGCGGCGAAGATGGTTCGGCCGTGCCTTTTCCATTTGTCGAGGCGGCAAGCGTCGAAGCATCTTATACCGTTCGTCCTCGTAGGCATTCCAACCGGGAATTCTCGAAAGCCAGTTGTGCCGTAGAAACACGCGTCGCGGCCTGCCGCTCGCCGGTACTTTCCAAGTGCTCGTAAAATCGCCGTTTCCCTCGCTTTCTGCCGTTTTCGTGTCCACCGAATTTTCTTTCCGAGGGACCGTTCATCGAATACCGAAGTGCCTGCATCACCACCCACTTGCCCCGAAACTCTTGCGAATCATCGATTCTCTGTGTGTGAGTAATCCTTGTCAACTCGCGATCGATACTTTAACTTTTCCCTTCTTCTTTATTAACAATTATTTTGAGATTAATTAAACTTACGCGTTGATATAATTCGATGTATTTTTTTTCTTTTTTTTTTTTTTTATAGTATTATAGTATAGTATTATACATATGTAGTTACAGTCAAGTTTTATTTATTTATTACGAATTGCGGTCTAATGTAAATATAAAACATGTTTGCGGGATGGAAGAGAAGAGTGTACATAAGGAACGAAATTTACGAATTAAGAAAGGGAACACGAAATTTTGTAGTAAAGAAACAGAAGTTGCACGGGAGTCACGCGAATCATCTTTTGTTTATGATTGCTGCAAGACTGAATTTTTTACAATTGACAATTGGAATTTTTCTTCTTAACGATCGTTGTACAACGCTCGGACGAGCAAACATATCGTTAGACACGCTATTAAATTTTAGAGATTAATCATGGATTGCCATTAAAAATTTTTTTTAAAACGCGAAAACGATATGTTAATAGAAATTTTGCGATTAACATTAAACTTATCGCATCCGTAATTGCAATGAAGCGATAAGTTAATTAAGGATGAATTAGAGCGTGGATGGAGGAGCTGAGTAGTAGTGTAACGTGTAAAAAAGAAGAAAAAAGAAAAAAGGAAAAAAAATTGCACGTCGAAACATGAATATTGAACGATGTTGATTCGTTAGCAGATTCTTTACAGGTATTCGTATAGAATATTTTAATCAATGCGTTATAATTATTTATCGAATAAAGTCGAGAGAGAAATGTTCTTCTGTTGCCAAATATATAACCCCTTTTCCAAATATATATTTTTTGGCGAACCTCGCCAAAAATGGGAATGGAAAGACCACCTCGATGAAGGAATTTTTAAACTCTGCTAAATATTTTACATCGTACTCGATCGATCGAGAATCTTATTCGACTCTGTCTCATTCTATTGACACGGTTCGCCAGCAACGATAATCGGAAAGTTTCGAAGCGGAAGCGACGATCCTCGTTTAACAGCTAATCGAAGCAAACGAGTCGTTCGTGCAACGATACTTCCTTTCGCGAAAGCTCACACGATGCCTACAAGGCTAAGATCTTGCAAAATGTTAATTGCAAATTCGTATTCGTAAGATAAGAAATCGTGGAATTTTTATTAGCTGAAAAAAATCCGCAAGATTTAATCCAAACGATTAATTCATTAGAGTTTTAAAAAAAATTTATTCTTACAAAAATTGTTTGATTTTTTTTTAAATTTCATTTATAGAAGAAGAAGAAGAATAAAAAAAAAAAAAAAAGATCTAATTCAACGAAACAAATCGTATTCAACTTTCCAGTTAACTGAAAGTACTTGGCAACTTTCTAAGTACGTATCGTGGCCGGTAATATATGGACGAGATATCTGCGCGAACTCTAAAACTAAAATCGAGTCCAAGGATTCGCGTTAGTTATATAATCGCGAACGAAATCGTTCTTCTTCGCGTATCAATTACTTGCGTAACGATATCCCCTCCCCTTCTCCCCCTTCCTCCGAATTCGTCTCGATTCTTCGATCGTCGTTCTAGCGCGGAAAGGAATTTTAAACCGAACAATCGGAGAATAAAATTCTAAATTTTGTAAACGACAAACCGTGAAATTTCGAAGTTAGTAATTCTCGAACGCGTTTCGAGGATGTTTATCTATTTCGAGGTTTATCTGATCGCGCGGCAAAGCGCAACAGGAAAACGGACGATAATTATCGTACGAAACATTAATGGACGAGGATATCCAGGAACCGCAAAGTATTTAACTTTTCCACACGGTCACTCGCGGTCAACGTGGAGTACCGTTGCACGTTTACTGTTGTGTACTGGACGGTGTGTATCTACGCAGTTGTTAGCCACTGCTTACAAGCAACGATTTTCACGATCCCGTGAGCTTCGAACGAGCCAGAAATATCTCTGACAATTATACGAAGAATATGCGCGGTTTCCCCGCGAGTGGCTTCCGTTAAATTTGCGCGCCGATCCTCCTTGCTTTCCTTCGAATCATGATTCGTTCGAAGATGGATTGGGTTAATTCTCTAGCGAGATTCTCAACCGCCCGCATGAAAAAGTAGCGGAAGCCTCGATGCGTGTTAATTTGAATGTTTCGCGGTCGAAGGACGGGATAATAATTACATCCATCATCGCCGACATTTTTTAATTGCGGACGATCGTTGAGATGTACAATTTGTGATTTTAAAAAAAAAAAAAGAAAAGAAAGGAAAAGAAAAGGAAGGAAAAGAAAAGAAGAAAAATATTTAAGAGCCTGAATTTAATTGGAAATTTTTCGATAATCAATCGTCGCGTGTGTTCCGTTTTCGGATTAGTAATTAGTATATTATGACATCTTATTTTTTTTTTACTACGAATTGTTTACGTATTATGAGAGAGCGATAAAATTCCTCTACGATGACGATTGAGGATCAACTAATAAATATTAGGATATATAGTCACGTATGTACGATTGCAATATTCGAACGAGTTGTACTAGTCCTTCTTAAAAGTTAAGTGAGGATTAGAAA